AAATCTAAATATTTGATCTCATACTTTTGAACAGTAGTGTACATTAAGGCAAACACAGGTTTGTGCTTTATCATAGTAGCTGTGCTGATAAAACTCACCCTGCCATCCTTATCCACGCCTGCGATCTGTCCTGTGGCGATACGGATCTTATCCGGGTGAACAGCAAGACTAGAAGAGAAACAGACATTCAGAGAGAGCAGAACATTCACCGATGTCCTCCTGAGGTGAATATGGCTTTGTTTGTGATCATTAATATATCATCAGGCAAATAAGCAACAAATAAGGATTTCCACTGGCCTGTCCATATACTGATGTCTAGAGACCAGTATGAATTCCATTGTATACATATTTTAGACAATATTTGGTAACACTTTAGATTAGGAAACACTATTCACTATTAACTAGTTGCTTATTAGCATACACATTCCTAGCATTTTGCTGTTTATTAGTACTTAAAAAGTACATATGAATGCCTTATCCATGACTATAGGCTATGCTAGATCCCTTGCCTTACCCAATACCTAAATCTAAAGTGTTACCCAATATTCACAAGGCCACAGGAACAGGTATGCTCAGCAACATCACTGCTAACAATGCTCACTGTTAAGGTTTTTTTTTTTTGTACACCACATCAGCTCATTTGTTTAGATCAGGGCCCACAGAAGACATTTTCCTGTCATTTCCATCCTGAGATTACACAGCCTCAGGAAGACAAAACTAAACGTGAATTCACAATGACAGCCATTCAGCAAGAAAAACTGCAACATCTTTCAATGAAATTTTCAGTGAGAGTTGGTTATTTAATCACCGTCAGTGACAAAGTCTCATATGACGAATGATAAGACCAATAGATAACTGCATGGCCCTAATAACACGATATGTGTTTTCAGTCTCACCATTTGACACAGTCAGTGTGTCCTAAATAGTGCCGCTGTGTCCTCTCCTCATAGTTGAAGAGCACAACCACCGAGGCGATGAAATATACGATCTCCCCGGTAGGTAGCAAGTACACATTTGCACGGCAGTCACGTCCCCTGTAGCCATATCTGCACGTCTGAGTCAAGGAGGATACAGGGAATACAACAATATTCCAAAAACCAAAAAATGTATGTTATACTTGTCCATCACAATGATTTAATGTATGTGAAATTAATTCACAGAATGGTGTATTTTCTCAGCAAATACTGGTTAACATAACATAACATAACATAACATAACATAACATAACATATAAAATAAAATAAAATTTCTTGCCATAAAAGTTCTAATCCCTTGTGTATTTTCTCAGCAAATACTGGTTAACATATAACATAACATAACATAACATAACATAAAATAAAATAAAATATAAAATAAAATAAAATTTCTTGCCATAAAAGTTCTAATCCCTTTTAAAATAAAATCTTCACATTATTTTTTAATGAATTTTTATGTAATGTCATGCTATGATTTGACTTTTATGTCTTTACTTTGCCTATGTAAAGCATTTTAAATCACCATTGTAAAATACAATACATTCAAAGCATGCTAGAAAGGATACACCCACTCCAGTTTGAGTCTCTCTGGGGGAAGTTCGGTGCGGACATCGTCATAATTCTCCACGTCCGATGGGATGAACATCGTGATGGGTCGTCCTCGCATGAACATTTTAATATATTCTCCCTCTGTGGAGAAATTTGATGAAAGAAATATATTCTAAGAAAATACTAGAAAATAGTGACTAATTATTAAGAATTAGTAACTACTGCGAATGAAACGTATATCTCAAACAAAACCCATGTTTGTTTGTGTGAAGTTTATCTTGAATTTAAGAAGCAAGTTATCTAAAATTTGGTAGTGAACATGGTCTTTCAGAACAGACTGCGTGAGTTTGTTCATTTTAGCAACATTTAACATACACGTAGCATATATTTAGCTTTTAGCATTGCTCCTTCTTACTTAAAGTTTTTGAAATACTATAGATTTCTAAAACATTTCTAAATGAAGCTCTTCGATGGAGTTAGTGAGGCGCATGCTTAGAACTCATTCATCAACCCAAGCAAAACAAAAGTGAAGCTTTGAGCGGCGTGCAGAAGGGCCAGAGCAATGACAATGCCCAAATTTAACTGATTTAATAAAAAAGAAAGGTATAAAGCAGAAACATCAAGTTGATGAAAAAAACGGACAGAGTGAGGCAGAAAAAAAAAGTATTTTCTCTGGTCTCTAGAAACATTTTGCACAGTAGCAGATCTTATAATAGCATCGCATAATTCTATAAAGTATTTAACACTGAACAAGACATCTGACCACAGATAACCTTTAAAAACAGCTTAGTTGGCCAAGAATCTCTAGAACATTCCTCACTGACACTGATATCCTTAAAGGGATAGTTCAGCCAAAAATGAAAATTCTGTCATCATTTACTCATGCTCATGTTGTTCCAAACCGGAAAGAATTTTAGAAATGTCTGTGTGCATGTTTTTTTTTTTTTTTTTTAATAATAATAATACAATATTTATGTTTCACAGCAGAAAGTAAGTCATTAGGTTTGGGATGAAATGAGAGTGAGTAAATGATGACTGAATTTTAATTTTTGGGTGAACTATCACAGTACATGTTTACTGAATTAGTATATATACACAGGTGAATCTTACAGGAACAT